GTGTGGCTAATCTTATGTTGTCTGCACCTTCTCTGGTCAGGGAAGTTGTTGCTTTTTTAAATAGAGTATCTCCGTCTTTTGCAGGGATACTGTATCCCTCTCAGTCCTGGTTGGCCTTCGCAGGCATGGTTGACGTTGCCCGCATCCTGATTGATTAGAACGGGGTCACATTAAAAACGTTTACAATCTCCAAATCCAATCTGTTTCCGTGTGAGATGCAGCCTTAGTCATGCTGATTCGCTGTAAATGACCAACGCGCTGTCATCAGTGCTTGCTGCTGGTACTCACAAGTCTGAATTTCAGAGGCGTCTTCCAGTACATTGGTTAGTTTTTAGCTACACAACGAATGGGAAATAGTTGTTATGACCTGTGTTGTTACGGTGGTTGTGAAATTAACTGATTCTAGTCTTGTCTGAAGCCAGGGATGCTTCTGAAAGATAACATTCTCTGCTTCATGAACAACTTTTGCTTGGCAATAACAAAATTATGAATATTCACTATGCATTTAATACAATGCAGTTGTTTAACTGAACTGATTTTATAGTTTTGAAAGAAGCTAGGTATGCTTCTGAAAGATAACATTATTCCCTGCTTCGTGAACAACCTTCGCTTGGCAATAACAAAAATATAATTATTCACTATGCATTTAACACAATGCAGTTGTTTTACGGGGTTTCTTTCAAGTCAGTGTGATAAATACATGTATGTTCACCTTGTAATATCTTGCTTTGGTAACGGGGAGGTCGCGCCTCGTAGGTTACTGGTATGATTAGTTCGTTGTGTGGTGTAGAATCGTGTTAACACGGAAATGGTAGTCTCAACTTCTCTGCTCCAATAAAGTTCATATCTTGTACTTCCGACATTTGTAGGTGTTCTTATTGTTGTAAGTGAGTGCTTCTCCTCCTCCTCCTCCCTCCTTCGTCTTCGTCTTGTCACTGGATCACATAATGTGTCATTTGAGGTTTAGCTCTGTGTTTTTGCCACCTCACTTAGCGAAATCTTGCATCGACTGTGAACAAACATTTTTGACAAGGTGTACCGAATGTACGTTTTCACATCTCAGTTTGCTAGGCTAATACATTACAATAGTGTACAAATGCTTTCATTAT